TCGGATGTTCATCTGCGTGTGTGTACGAGTGACATGGAAGGTAAACGTCAACTGACAAATTCTAACAAGCCAATTCGTCAAATCGAAGAAGTGAGCCGGTCTTTTTCTCGTACTGAATGGACCGGTTGAGCAGCTAGCTAGCTTCTGGAAGAAAAAGTTAGAGCACTTTTTTTCCTCTTCAAAAACCGCCTTCGTTTTCCCAATGCGTGACAATGCGTGCGGTCACGTGACCCCCCCCCCTCTATATCCGCCCACCCTCCGGGTGTTTCTCCATACAGCCACAACGACCCCGGCCCTTGGCCTCAAAGGGTTGAATGAGGGACCATCTTGTTATTAAATCGGCAAACGTCATGTAGCGTAATACATTTACTGTTCTGTAAATTTTATTTTTAATTAACCTTGTCCTCTGAATCCTTTCTTTGGTCTGTTGGCTATAGTCTGATTGATTCCACAGAAGTTCTAGAGCCTAGGGAGGGGACGTATCCGAGATCTTGAAGACATTCATGTGTTAAACATAAAAACTATGCTTCAGGCTTGGAAATTGATACAAAGAATATATTGATTCGGAAAGTTTTGAGAGAGATTTTTCAAGTGTTTTTTTTAAACATTTAGAAATAAAACTCGTCTTATCGGCAACATTTTGGGATGGATACTAAACATCTGCAGTTTACTTTGAAGGCTTTTTGCTACCTTATTAAAACAAATACATAAACTTCTTCCCTTTTTTAATTTAGAAATTAAAAAGGGAAGGGGGAGGAATCTTGCTTTATTACTAGCTACAGAAATCTAGAAAATGATTTGCTAAAATGATAAATCCCTTTATTAAATGTAATTATGATTTTGTATACCAATAATAAATAAAAGATATTTCACGTGGCTTTATAGTACTAGAGCTAAAGGTTCATATTTTTGTTCGTAGCTATTGGGCTTGTATTCAGTGTTGTTTTTGTTTTATTTTAAAATACTTTTCCATGTCTCTCTCCCACACAAGAATTTTTCAAGGGTAAGGTCCAGGGTTGAAAGTCCACTATTCTCTTATCATGCTCCAACACGCCACCCAACATATTCTTTTGATTTCGTCGTTTTTCGGTAACAAAAACAGTAAAAAAATAATTGAATGAATAATTAGCATTAATTAATATATATTTTTTTCATAACATATACTAAATTAAATTTTACGTACTGTATACACAGGATTATGGTCAATAAAAAAAATCAAGGGCTTTGGGGGGGAGGGTCTAGACCCTCGGGACTCCCCCTTGTGTGCGCCACTGCTCTCTCCTTATCAGTGGCGTAACGAAGAATATTAGGGCCTCCTAGCAAAATCAGGTTTGGGGCCCCTAGCCGGATCTTACAATGGTATGCATACTTGGCGTCAGTAAGGCTTTGGGCCCCCAAGAATCCTGCCCTTCCCACGATGCGGGGGTGTACGTTACACCACTACTCCTTGTTGCAAAATCGATTTCTCCAATTTTATTTTATTTTTCACAAGATTTCTAAAACCTGGCAATAAATGGCATGTTTATTTTAACATTTTTTGAAATATTGTAGAACTGTAGGAGGGAATTGTATGTGTATATTTATTTATTCCCCCTCCCCCATTCATACTTCTATAGGTTTTTTTTTTTAAAAAAAATATAATGTTTAATATTCTTCTTAGGTTATTGTGTTTATTCTCAAGATTGTATTGTAAATTTTAATGTGTTTTTTCAAAACATATTTCATTTTTTTTTTATACAAAATCTTGGGTATTAAATTTGATTGATAACTTGGTACACTTTTTAAAATCTTAAGAATTAGTTAAAAATTTGCTTTTTTTCCTTCCAACACTCGTAGCATTCGCTTTATATTTTTCTTCTCTCCAGTTAGACGATTATTTTGAAAAAAATTATTCATTTATTTTTGCTTATTCTCATTCTTTTTATTTATAATTGGATTTTTAAAAATTTAGGAACTAAATTTCGTTATATTTAACATTGTTTTCGAACATTCAAAGCTCTCGTATCTTAGATGCACAAATATTTTCTCGTTTCAAAACTTCTGGAGACGTCGGCCTTGTAATTGGCAAATTCCTTCTTACACTTCGGACTGATCCACCTTGAGAATATGAATGACCATTCCTCCTGTACGAAAAGGGAGAAAAATACAAAGGGATTACGGAAGCAGCCTTCTAAATAGTAAATAATGCATTCTGCATGAAAATATAAGGGTTAAATATTACATCCGTAATTCGAATTAAAAGGCTTTGTAGAGATACCAATGAAATTTTTCTTTCATCATTTGTATTCGGGTAGAGTTTGATGCGAATTAATTTGATTTCCTCCTTTTTTATATTATAATATATTAACATATCTATTTCTTAATCAAAGCTATCTGTATTTTTATTCTTATAATAAATTTAATACACAGTGAAATATATGTAAGAAATTAAATTGGATAATCACAGATTTACGAGCACTTTTGGTGTTAGACCTGTCTTTTAAAACTGGTATTATGTATCACATTAAAATTCCGTTATTTTTAATCTTTGTTGTAAAATATTATTTGAGGAAAAATATATTAGTATTTGGCTTATTTAAATATCACCATCTTTAATATTACTTTAAGGTGTTTTCATGTGATGTTAAAGTACAAGAACAAAATCGTGGCACCTTTTAGATGGAAAATTTCTCCGACTTTTTATTCCCTGTTGCATATTTTACTATACTACTAACTTTTATTTGCTTGGATTCATTTTTCTGGTTTCCTGCTTTATACCATCCCTCTAAATAAGTCTCTACATTTAATGCTTAACGGAAAAATTACATTTTTATGTAATGTTTTTAAATTTTAAATGAGGGTCTATGAACAGCGCACTGTAAAACGTAACCTGAGACTTCCCCATACTCTCCTAGCTTCCACACCACGCCAATGTAAGGACTTAAAACTACGACAGACTTAACGCGCTTCAGCCCCTCTACACGGCGGATCTTCAGTGGTACCAGGGCTCGAACTCATGACAGGCCCTCAACACGACTTCGTGACCATAACTAGCGCGGCCACACTTTCATATTTTGCGAACGCTGTATTATAAATAGATAAATGAGTAACAAAACGTTGTGAATTTTCATGAAAATTGAGGTATTGTTTTGTGTGGAAACGTGTTGTGAATTTAGTTCGTACTCTTTTACGTCTGTTGAAGACGATCTTATTAGTACTCATGGGCGTAGCTACCACCGTATCAATGATACGGGACCCCCAGTATTTAGGCCCCAAAATCTGTAAGTAAAAAATCGTTAAATGTTTAGAGGCCTTAAAAGAGGGCCCAAAGGCATATAGATACAGGGCCCACAAAGGACTAGCTACGCCAGTATTTGTACTTGAATAAAAATGTTACGATTCAGCATGATGATTTCGTAAAAATTTCTTTGAAAGATTTGTTTGGGTGTTTCTTTTTTTCTTCTTTTGGCAGAAACGATTAAATTGCTAAATATGTATTTATAACAGTGAATATATATACAGTAGAACGTCGTTTATCCGAACCTTTATCATCCGAACCAAAATCCGGATACATTTTCGAACAGTGCAATGCTGAACAGTTGTTTCGCGTGAGGTCAAAATTAACGGGAAAACACAAGGTGAAGGATATTTAGGGAATTTCAGTTGTGTGAATTTGAAAAAAATCTGCGCGGAATATTAGGTCAGTTTGTTTCCAAGTGAGGGGTGTATACGTGCTCTTTTGTTGAGTTTTGTTGATGTAGAAACCTGGATGGCATGCGATGCAGAAGACTAGTTATTTCAAATGCTAAATGATGACGAGATTGTGACTTCCGTGCAAGAAGAATCCGACCCTGTCGACGATGAAACGGATGACGAGGACAACAACAACGAAAGTAGCAAATGCTGAGGCGTTTTTTGCGTTAGAGACAGCTATGGAGTGGTACGAACAACAATCAGAGTGCTGTCCTACTCAAATACTGCTGATCAAGCGGACCAGAGACCTTGCAGCGTAAAAACGAAGGTGTACAATGGTACAGCGAAAAATAAGTGATTATTTTCCACAATAAAGGTAAAATTGTGACATTCAGCACCTATTTTGCTTTTTCTTCAAGCACGTTTCCCGCATGTGATGATTTTCAATATTCGTATAGTGTCCGGTTTCATATACTGCATGGTTCACATTCTGTTTTCGGTTATCCGAACAATCGCATATCCGAATGGAGTCTGGTCCCAATTGATTCGGATAAACGACGTTCTACTGTATATATTATTAATAATTTCATCGCTTATTTTTAAAAACTGTCAGGAAAAAATGTCAGATTTAGGTTTTACTTTAAAGTGTGGTGCAGTAATAAAAACATCACGATTAGTATACAATTTCCTTATATTTAAGAATATTGAAGAACAATGTTACCTCTGAAAAATTCTACTTATCTTTGATCTCTTCTTAACCGTAGCAGCATGGCTGTGAAGTTAAGTTGTGACGGTGTTCGACCGTAACTTGTTCGCATGCGCTGGAGGTGAAATAAGAGTATCGTCCTCATCTTACTAAGTTCATATGAGATAGTTTAACTGAGAGGAAAAATTAAGGAATAGAACATCAAGCTTTGTTATTGAGAAATATATGCATAGTGTTTCCTTTTCGTGATTGTAAAAATATATATCATTCAGAATGCTTTGTAAAATGATTAATATTTTCTATGTATACATGCCATTTTCTGTCTGCAGAATTAAAACAAATTGTATTACAATTTGCGTTAGATTGCTAATTTCGTTACGTTATTACTTCATTCCCTTTTTTCATACATATATATCTTATTCAAATTTTTCAATCTAAAAAAAAAAACATTTTATTCATCTACTCAAGTTTAAATACATTTTTTAAAATTGTAGTGGATGGCACAGGATGTTAATACAGTCTTTTCAAATATTAATTCATTAATTCAATTTAATTAATGAATATATAGTAACTACAAAAATAATATTCCAACAGCATATATAGAAAGGGAAAATCATTTGTTGTCCCTGTAGGGCAATAAGTAGCGCGTTGGACTTTTCATCCAAAGGTCGTAGGTTAGAATCTTACCTGGGATGGCCTAATTTCTTTTTCACTATTCTATTATATTAGAATAATTTAATTTAACTAAGGAATAAATGAAGGAAGGTGGCTGAGTGGTTAATGCATCACGCTGCCACATCACAGGTCCGAGGTTCAAACCCCGGGTTGGGCAAGGTTGATTCTACCTTTCATCCCTTCAGTGGGTCGACAAAATGAGTACCAAGCTTGCTTGGGAACTTAACCCTGGGGGTTTCGCGTCAGGCTGACCACTTGACCTGAACATCTGCTAATGCACTCAGGGCCCAAGGTCGCTAATACCGGGTTGGGCACAGTAGGCCTTGGCCCTCATAGGCTGTTGCGTTGTATAAATAGTAACAATGAGAACAAATAGTCCAACTCTCTATATAGAAAGAAAAATGGAAAATTGCAAGGAAAAAATAGTTTTCTATTTTGTCACTAAGTATTGTGATTCTGTCATATTTAATATAAATTAACTAAAATAAAATTTTTCTTTGTTGACTTAAGTAGGAATTAAAATTTTTTAAATATTATTTTCTACATACAATATTATACTTTATTTTTATTCCTAATCTCATAGTGCTAGTAAGGATTTGATTTTTCGCCACAGTTTAGTTGTAATTTTTTAAGCGAGGGAAAATGTATCTGTATGCACTGTTAATTCATTCAAGAGATATAGGGATTTGGTTATATATTTTAAAAAGATCAATTGTAGAGGAAATTAGCTATGTTTATCTGTCCGTTTTTCAACAGTTCCAGCGATAATATCGATTGATACTTATCCTGAGCCAGTAGCGCGCACAGGAATTTTTCATGTGGGGGGAGGGGGTTCCAGGGTAAAAAATCCAGCATTCTCGTATCATGCTCCAATACGCCGCCCAGCATATTCTTTTGATTTTGTCGATTTTCGGGAACAAAAAACAGTTAAAATTTAGTTATTGAATTAATAATTAGCATTAATTAATAAAATTAATTATTAAAAACAAATACTTGGTCAAATTTTACATACTTTTCTTAGGATTATAATCAATCTAAAAAAAATCAAGGACTTCGGGGGTCCAGACCCGGGACCCCCTCCCCTTGTGCGCGCTACTGTCCTTAGTATATGGCGTGTTCAACTTGGGGGGGGGCATTTTGGTCATGCTATAGCTTAACAAATAGGAGTTGTTCTACATCTTTTATGAATGATTTTTAAAATAATTGTATCTTCGACATATATTTTACCATAATTTTGAATTTTCAGAGGTAAATCAAATAATTTTTATGAAAATTAAAAAAAAAAGTTATAAAAATTAAAGCTTACTTTTGCATTTTTGATACACATGAGACTGAAAAGCAAGCAGACTTATATAAAAATGATGTTTAGAAATGTTTTAATTCGGGATTTAATTTTCGTGTTCACTATTTCCCGACAAAACCAAATTCAACATTTTTTTTATAAGTGAACGATTTACTAAATGTATTTTGAACATGTTGAAATGTACTTGAATAATGCATTGCCAAAGAATGTTATAAATCATACATCTGAGAAAATTAAAAAAAAATAATTAAATTGCATTTTTAGCTTTTATAGTTCTATTTTTCAATACAAATAGTGATAATCGTATCATGTTAAGAATATATACGTATTCCATTTTAGCATTTATACAATCTCATCCCCTACTCAAAAATATATATGACCGTGTTAACTTGGCGAAATTCCACATCAAAACAAATTACTTAACAATATTATTCATTTTCTATAGGTATATTAAAAATGACACTTTTTAATCATCGTAACGAATTCTTCAACCAACAACAACCACATCGAACCAATTGGCAACGACATCGTGCCTATCCCATAGACTCCCCGGCAAGTTAATATCGTTTTTTAACACTTTCCTTACCCTTTAATTCGTCACCGCCCTAAAAAGCACGTTGGGTGAATCGAAGGGGTGGGGGGAATCATTGTGAAAGGGGGGAGAAGCACAAAGAAATGAGTACTCTGGGGTCGTCATGCCACGGTAGCCCTACATATACACTGATAGGTCACCGCACTCGGGGTTGCTTCAGAGCGAAATCACGCCAAAGCGCTTGACAACTCGCCAAAGCGTGATTGCTGTTGAAAGTTTTCTACAGTGTGACGTCGCAAATTGATAGTTCTTTCGCGCGCTGGTTAACGCGCCCTATGGTTGCTAAACTGTTAATCTCACTTGACCGGACCTACTTTTGGGGGATTTTATCATCATCCGGTGGCGAGAAAAAAAGAGGAGGAATGTATTGTTTTTTTGCTTTTTTTCTCCTGCTAAGATTTTGTGTTGCAAATGGGTATTCTTTGTTCGAATTCACCTGTGAGAAAAAGCGTTTGTTTCAAGAAATTTCCAACCGTTTCAGATAATTTTGTGATTGTTTTAGAACTATTGTAGTGGAAATTTGCAAATGTTTTTCTTTTATTAAATATATTTGGTGTCTGTGATGTATTTATTGTGGGTGTTACTAAATTCATTCACGGATTAATAAAATTTTTTAAAAAAGGGAAAAATATACTTTTTTTGCTAAATTTATTCTCTCCCAGTCCTTTTTTTTTTTTTTTTACAGAATAAAAAAAATTAGAGTATATTTTTGTGTTAGTTTTTTAAAATTCTTGTCTGCTGTTCAGTTCTTGAAACGGACTGTGTATTTGATTAAATGAGAAATTAATTTTTAGTATTTTCATTGGAAAGAATATTTTATCCCCTAAATTTTCGATATTATTTAACATAAAAGCTATACAAATGTATGGAAAATATTAATTGTATCCTAGAAATGAGTTCCACAAAAAATGGGAGGAGTATATGTAGTTACATTTGCTGTAATTTTCTTTATTTTACATTTTAAACATCTAGAAAAACGTTTCTCCGTAAACTAGTCATAAGTACAAAAATGGACAAGTTTTCTTTTCTTTGATAACTATCGTTTATAAGATGTGATTGGTAATTTTTTTTTTTTAAAGCACATGTTTTGTACGCTGATTGCAGAATAAGTTATTATTTTTTTTCTCCATAAAATTCAATATTAAATCATTAACAAAGATAAACCCAGAGAACATTATCAACATTTTACCATTATTAAAATAATGATTTTTTAAAAATTATTTGAGTAATCAGTTTAGTTGGCAGGTGTCTGATTTCTTTGTTCTCTGAACTGAACTACTCTGAATATGTCTAATTTGTTTTCACTTAAGAAAAACGGGGTTGAGATGTTATTAAAGGGATGTATCATATATCTGTTATTAATTTTTCCTTCAAAGAAAAAGTAATCCTATAAGTTTTAAATAATCAAGTTTTAAAGTTTCCATGGTTTAATTTTTACATTCCATCGCCTCCCTTTATTTCATCGATCTTTTTATGCTACCTGAGATTTTCCTACGCCCCCGCCCCTTCATGTTAAGCTTTAGAATTCCTTTCTTGTTTTCTAATTTCTCAGTTATCATGGAAAATTTTCGGAAACATCTGTAGTCCGGTAAAATGCTCTAGATTTCGATTTTAATATAAGGAAATGTTTTATTCTGTATGAAGTAATAGATGTATTTATCACCATTTATTGGAAATTGCTTCAGATATAATTCTATTGATCTTAATTAAAGTAAAATTAATGGGCAGTCTTGCTTAATGCAATTGTGAATTTAATTTTCTTTGAAGAATTCTTTAGAAAATCTTTCATGTGAAATTGATTTCGTATCGTTTAAGATAAAGCCAATAATGTATTTCCTGCATATAGTGTTATATGGGTATGGGCAAGTTCTTGAGAGTATTTTGGAATTTTTCTCGTGCATTATCATAGTTAATCTTGAATGGGGCCCAGTGGCGCACACTAGGGGGGTGTCCTGGGGGTCCGGATACCCCCTTTCTTTTCGATTGTTGATAATCCTATATATATGTATGTAACGTAAAATTTAATTAAGTACTTTTAATCAACAATTTATTTTATTAATTAATGCTAATTATTAATTCAATAATTTATTTTTTACTGTTTTTTGTTAACAAAATCAGGAGAATCAATTGTTGTTGTCTTGAGGTATCATACGAGTTGGGGGACTTTTGACCACGGACTCCCCCTTGAAAAATTTTGTGTGCGCTAATGATGGGGCCTATATCAAAATTCCTGGAAGGACCCTTTTTGAGGCCCCTTAAAATTTTGCGATGTTTTTCATATATATTTTGGGGCCCCTTGTGATTGATACGGTGGTAGTAGCTAAACCTTTGATTCTATGTCATCCTTTAAAATCTCACTCTTTAATTATAATTTGATGTAAGTTAACAGAGAGAGAGAGAGAGAGATGTGATGACTAATTCATTTCAATTCAACTTCCTAAATCTTTACTCTGTTCTATAAATTTTAGTGTAACATTAAATTTGTTTCTTTCGGAAAAGTTCATTTTTTAAATATTTATCTTCAATACGATATTGATATCAAGTCTTCCACTGACCAATTTTCCATTATTATGTTATACAAACCTTAACTCAGTCCAGTAATTCATTCATTCATCTCTTAATTCTCAGATGGTTTTTATCCCAAATCCCCATAAACGAAAAATCCCGATTCTTCAATTTCTGACATCCTAAAGAGATTCGATTATTGATTTCAGCACTAACTGTCACGAGAGACTACAAACGGAGGCCTGAGTATGAGCAATTGAACTGAGGGAGTTGAATCCACTGGGAATCTTCTGCTACATATTTACGCCATTAATTGCAAAATTCTGTTCTCGAAGGGGGAGAAAAAAGAACACGGATGATAGAGGAGAGAAAAGTTTTACTCTGCCCCCTTGCCTCTGTGCTGTCACTTCCGATCTGAGAGCTCGAGAGTTGAAAGCTTACTAATATCTGCGTATTTGAATATAGGAAACCCATTAGCAGTTTGTTAAATCGAGATAAAGGGAAAATGGTTTATCGATTAGTGATCGAATCGATTGGGAATTCTGTGTGTGGACGCGAACACTTGTTAACATCGTGTTAAAAGGTTGTCTAGTGTGTGCGTTTTTAGTTGATGGAGGTGC